CTTTTTCTGACCCCTACAACCACATCTCCATTCCTGTTACTTCGGAGAAATCTTTAAATGGGTGGGGGAGCTTGATTATTGCAAAATCAATCACTATTCTCAGAGGTCAGCCAGGAACAAAATGTCTGCACTGATGGGAAGGGGCTGGGATGACCTGGGAACCAGGTGCTGGAGAAAGTCACAGCCTCTCAGTGCTAGCTGACAGCTGCCCAGCTGAAATGAGGGCCTGAGCATAGGTGGCCTTACAACAAGAAAAAAAAAAGAAGAAAAAGAAAAAAGAAAGACTGGAAATCTGGATTTTTATAAGACAGTTTCAGATTTCCAAAACATTGAACTGCTAAAGAAGCACTTCTGAGGGCCCGGTGACCCTGTGAGGCTGGCTTGGGATCTGACTGGGGCCTCCTTACCTCCTTCTGCTCTGAAACTCCATGTGGCAGAAGGTGAATCTGACACAGGTGTAGGTGTGCCTCGTGGAACCCAGGGCAGCTGAGAGATTCCCCAGGTCTGGAAGGGATGGGGCCCCGGAAGACATGCTCTGGGTCTCTTCCCTGGGGCCACACAGACTGTGTTCAGCACCACTCTCTGGGGTTCTCGTCATTCTCTTCTCTCTTCAGGTCCCCATCTTTCTTCCCTCGTCTCTACAGACAGAACACCCCCAGCTCCCCAAGTTTGCATGTCTCAGTCACAGTTATACAGAGACTGACCTGCATGCAGCAGTCCTGATTTCTAATTCTCTGGAGGGATAACCTTGGCTGTGAGGGGTAGGCAATCTTAGAGAGAAAGAGGGTGCTCATGAGCTGAGGAGACACCCTGAAAAGCTTTTAAAGCAGCTCCCAACCTGGATTTTCAGGCAGCTTCTTGCCTGGTGTCCCACTTCTCAACCAGCTCCACCCGTCCCTGCGGTAGAAACTGGAGGCTTCCAAGATCTTGCTCAGAACCTCTCTCCTGGCCAGACAACCAGCTGCATTTGTTCATCTGACTTGAAGTTCCATCCCGGAAGCCTGACTGCTCCCAACTGAAGTGTCCTCTTAACCTGCACTTGTTACATATTTCTGGATACTGTAAGGTTCTCACGCTTCCATTATCCTTAGTGTGAGTGCAGGCTCCTTGGGAGCAGGAAACACATCCTCCTTTTAAATGGTTTTCTCTCCCTCCTCCTGCCAATATCCAGTGGGGGGTCTGCAAACAGCAAGCACTTAATAAGCTCCTGTTGGCCACATAAAAACAACTTGGAACCAAAGAGAAAGGCTCTTCTGAGTTCTGTGCCATTGTGAGGATTGCTTCTGCTGTGTGCTGTCAGAAGATGAGCTAAAATTAGGTCAAGAATGTCCTTAATTCATCGT